ATATGGGACACTGAATCAAAGCCTATTTGTACTTCTGGAAACCTAGCTCCTGCCATGCAAGGTGTTGCCACCTAGCCGGCACTGTAACTGAGTCTTCAAAAGGCCATTTCACTGTTCTGCCAAGCCATCTGCTTTAGAATGTTAGGGAACATGATAAGACGAGTAAATTCAATGAGGTTGGGCCCATCGTTGTACTTCTTTTGCTGTAAGGTGACTTCTTTGATCAGAAGAAATGCTGTGTATAATACCATGCTGGTAGATAAGGCATTCTGTAAGTCCACAGATGGTAGTTTTGACAGAAACATTGCATACCGGGAATGCATGTCTGTACCCGGAGTTGTGTCTATTCCAGTAAGAACAAAATGCTGCCCCTTCCATAATGGAAGCCCTCTATCAACCTGCCACCAGGTAGCTGGCTGCTAACCCTAGGGAATGGCGTCATGGCAGGGGTTGGGGAGTGGTCTCTGCTGCTGGCAGATTAGACATTCAGCAGTAGCTACAGCCTTGGTGAGTGGAAGTCCATGTTGTGGAGCCCATGCATAACTCTCACCCGTCACCCCGGCCACATGGTTCATAAGCCCATTATTGGGTGATAACAGGGGTGGCTAGGGAGGAGGCTGACTGGTATCCACACAATGGATCATCCTATCCAACTGGCTTTAAAATCCTTCTCTACTGAGCCCACCCTTCAGTGAGCATTCACATTGCACATAAATTTCTTCATGTTTTCAGCCCACTCAGAGAGGACTCTCTACATAAGCTTCCCCAGATTTGTTACCAATTTTTCATTCTACATTAAACCGAGGTATGTCCAGCATTTCCAGTTTACTTGTTGTGGTCACCTTTTGGTTTATGTTTCAGTCAACCAGCCAAACAAATGCTAGAGCCTTTTCTGACTCTTAAAACTGCAATACTAAAGTGTAGAATCTCTGTATAGTGAGACCATATTATTATTAAGAATGAATTTCAATGAAAATACTATTTGTCCAACAAAAATGCATATGATTGTAATTGACTAGGGTGAAATTGGCTTTGTGGAGTTAGATTCATTCTGAATACTTCTTTAAAGTATATCAGAGTTTATATAATTTTAGTAATATGTTTCTTTAGTAAACACAGATTCAAAACTTCCTTGGTCCTTCTGTTCATTTCAATTGAGTGTGAAAGGTAACATAAAATGTTAAATAATGATACCCACCTACTCTAACAGGTATAACAGGAGGGGGATATATGTAGGACTATTGTAATGATCCAAAGAAAGATGAAGGCATGAATGAAAACAAAGACAAGGTGGAGAGGAACAGGCAAATTCAAGAGCTATCTGGAAGAAAAGTGACTCAGGTTTTGTGATTGGATGGTACAGGCTGAATATAAGAGGAAAAGTTTTGGCTTGTCTGTATATTAGATGGTGGGATTCTCAATAAAATAATAAATACATTAGGAGGAAAAGATGGGGAGTTTCGTTTTGACATGTTGAACATGAGATGAATATGAGGTCTACCATATACAGAAGACCAGTAGGAAGTTCTGAATATGGATCTAGCTTACAGAAAGATCTGGGCTGGAAATATGGACCTGAGAGTCATATCTACCTATCTGTCCGTCTGTCTATCTCTCAATCAATTTCCCTTGAGTTCCATCATTGTATGTTTTCTCTTCCTCTGCCTGTCTCTTTCCTTCTGTCCCCTTTTTTGCTGTTTTATAGATCCTTCCTTGGTAATTTCATTCACTGACTAAGTAGACTCTATAAAGACAATATCCAATACATATAGACAGTTTCTGATACTGCCTACACATACAGTCTGTATAGACAATTGATTCGGACACCGGCCTGCAGTGTCCATGGCATTATAGATGAGACGAGACAAATTCACATGGATTATCAAGTCCTGTGGAGAAAAAAGGACAGCAAGTCACTCTCAGAGAGAGAGCACCTGACCCTTGCCTGGACAGGCTTTTATTGGATTTAATTTGCAAAGGAATACAGGGGGTATACATAAAGCTCATCAGTCATTGTCAGGCAGAAATGATTAAACAGTAGATAACATTCAAAGAACTCTGAGGGCTTATTTTGAATCAGGGTCAGATAGTTAAAGGGCCATAAAACTTTGGGGGACAAGCTCACTTTATGCTTGGACCCTTATCATTTAAATTGAGGGTATTAGCAAAGTAGGTTTCATAGGATTTTATGCATTATTTCTTAGGCCTGATCGCCCTAGCAGGGGCTGTACCTACCTCCAGCATCGTTTCAGGATTAAGGCATTGTTTCAGGCTTAAATCAGGCAGGGGAAGTAAAGCAGCCAAGAGATTAGGAGACTTCTTGCAGACAGAATGAGGACTCAGGCTAGTCAAAGCTGAGGGGCAAGGGTCCGTAAGAAAAACCCCCTTTTTCTATAGCCCTCCAAGTTCTTCCCTGAGGGCTCCTTTGCAACCATGCTTGTCTTAGGTCATCCCTCCTTTGAGGAATCTTGCCAGTCTTTGGCTAACCAGTCATCCACCTGGGGCCAAGCAGGGTGAAGGAAAAGGGGGCAGAGGTGGTACCTCTACAAGGAAGATAAGCTTTGTCTTGTAAGTGGCTTATGGTCTCAAGATCTTTTTACTCAGCCTTAGCCACGGGGGAATACAGCTTCTGAAACCAGGCAGGGTGATTCCCAACAGACAATGGGTGAAATCATGTATGGTTGATCTACAAAATAAGAAAATTAAAAGAAAGATTGAGAGAAAACACGATATTAAACCTCTGGGACTACTAAGTCACACACACACACACACACACACACACACACACACACACACACACAAACTATCTGAAGTAGAATTGGTAGAGGAGACAGAAGATAGGCAGGAGAACCATGGAAGAGTAACAGAATCTGAGAAAAGAAAAAGTTTTAAGAGTTGTCAGTGGACTAGTGAAGGTAAGAGCTAAATAAAACAGCTTTCACTGAGTTTTTTTGTTAGTAATTAGAGAAGTTTCATCAAGGACTAAAGCTAGTTTTCAGTTGGTTGAGGAACAAATGGAAAGTGTGAAAGGAGAAATAACATGTAAACTATGGGATTTAGAATTTATCACTTGAACAATAGAGGACAATTAGAAGTTTTGTAAATTTTATTGAAAAAAATGTCTTCCAATGTTAGTAGGGTGTGTGTGTGTGTGCGCGCATGTGCACATGTGCACGTGCACGCTTGGTTGGATCGTTTGGTTTATACCAGATCAATGAGTTCATTTTCCTGTGGGCCATTTGTGTTTGATATAGTTCCTGGGGATCTCCTGATATAGAATCTTGGCAAACACACCTGAACTGTGGTTCTCAGGGCTTTAGATTAAGGGCAAAACCACCTAGTACTATTTATAAAATAACTGTGATCTCATTGAACAAAAATTATAGAACCCATAGTTGATCATTCCAAAAGAGTGCCTTTCTCCTATTTGGTAAGGTAAGTATTTGCTAAAGTGATATAGGTGTATCACTTTACACCTATACTTTGTTACAGGTGTATTTGTATTGAAACATTTTAATAGAAAATTACTAGGAGAAAGAAATAATGTGTAACACACTGAAGAATTAAAAGGTTCTCATTTGCTTAATTAGTGAACTGTTTATTTTTGAAAATGACATCATGTTTTGAGTAACTGGGGCAAAGGAGTACCATATATTTTCATTAAGCACTTAATAGTTTTTCTTAATGGAGTCTTCGTTTGACATCTATTTTGTTCGTAATGTACTGAAGAGTAAAAGAAACCATTCTTTCTGCATGCTAGTTCAGTAGGAGATTGTTTTCTATGACTTTATTTTGAGTTTTTGAGTTGCCACTTTTTCTTTGTTACATGGATTACATGTGAAGTGATAGTTTATTTTAGGAAGTCTTTTATTGTGGTAAATTAGATATCTTTTGTTTTCTTAGAACAATTTGTGTATAGAAACTGGTTTCTTAAGCGGCTGCATTGGTATGCACATTACGGAGTAGGAAAGGAGATAGGAAGGCTTCATGCGTCCGTGGTCAGTGTGTTCATGCGGCATCTGTGTTTTTCTCTGCTTCCAGCAATCTCATGCATATCTTTAAAGAGATCTACATTTCTAAAAGAAAATACATTTTTGTTCTGCTGGGATTTAGGATGGTTCTCGTAATTGTGGATCCCTTGTTTTTATTTCTACTGGTTAAAATAGAATTTTCAGTAAATGTGTACTTGTCTTCTGTAGCCTATAACAGTACTGTCCAAAAGCACTATGAGACAAATATGAATTAAAAGTAGTAATTAATAATTACAGATAACATTAATATTTTTGTTTAACTCAGTGTATTCAATATACAGGGTCTGGCACAAAGAACACCCCTTTTTATTATAAAATCGTAATCATGTAACTGTGTAACATAACAGTGTCACACTTAAGCACACCATATGACATTTAGGTGAAATGTTCAAGTTGCTGTCCCTCTCGTGCTAGACATTCTCTTACCCTACCAACCACACTCAAGCAAAGCAAGCCTTACTTCTGCCGGACCCTGTGTTATTTGAACAGGTAATCAATGCAGAAGTTATTTTGCCTTTTGTATTTCATATTTTCAAAATCCAGTTAATATTTTGCACTTACAACCTTTGTCTGTTCTGTTTGGCCTAGCCACATTTCAGTTGTTCAGTAGCCACATGTGGCTAATGGCCACCCTATGGTACAGTGCAGGCCTGTGGAGTCAGAGCAGATACTTCATATCTGGGTGGATAGAAAGATAAAGAGATATCTATTTTCTATAAAATGGATTTGATTAGTGATAACTAGGTACCAACACCTAATAATGTGATCATCTTTATGTATATCAAACATGGCCTTTTCTAGTGATTGGAAAGTTAATTGGAGGAGATATACTGAAAATACTGGATCGATGGAAGGTTTTGGTGATTTGGTTGCACTTAATCGCTGTACTGTGCAATTGCATTTATTTCTGTTGTATGTTCATGTTTCATGAAATTTAAGTCTATCTGTCTATAATTCTATAATTTGTAGCATAAATGCAGTTCCAACTACAATGAAGATTTTGTGCTCCAGCTAGAGAAGGAATTGGTTCAAGCCCGTCTGAGCGAAGCCGAGTCTCAGTGTGCGCTGAAGGAGATGCAGGATAAAGTCCTGGATTTAGAGAAGGTGAGAACGACATGTGCTTTCACTCCCAAATCAGACAGGACATGTACTAGATCCTTGTTAAGTACTTACTGAGCAGTTAAGTTGGACTTGGTGCTTTTGTACATTAGGAATCTTAACATATTAATTACTGAGAGAAGACAGGAAAAAATAAGATTCCCAGTTATTCTTTGTTATTGCCATACTACTCAAAGTCCCATATTTAAGGGTAAAATGGAGGTTAGAGTCCTTTTACAGGAAAACAACCAGGATAATTTTTATATGAATATTATTTAAATGTTGGAAAAGAGAAACTTAGGGGATAGAAATGAACTGTTGTCCTCAAATATTGTAATATCTTCATCTCTAGGAGGTTGAACTTGATTAATACATAAACATTTTAGAGAAAATTTCACTGGGTGTAACTGTTACAATTTTCCAAACGACAGTAGCCACCTCAGGGTATGTAGAAAGATCTTAGCCTCAGGTATACCACAGAAGCTAACTTACCTCTTTTCAAAGTCATTAAAGTACTTTGAAGATTAGGCAAGTAGTAGAAATACAAACTTTCAAGTTTCGTATAACTCTCAGACTTGAGAATCTGTCTGCTAGATAACAAACTCTGTTTCCTTGTCTTAAATCACTGATGTCTTGGGCTGTATGTTGCATTCGTTCCTTTCATCCCTGGGGAATATCTAACTATGGACTCAAAGGCTCATAAATAACAAACATGACAGACTTGAGTTGTTCTTAACTATTTCTTAATGAAATAGAGCAGGTATAACTACAGTCAATAGTGGAATAATTCTGCTAGAAATCTGCTTGCTATTTTTATATTGCTTTTAGAAAATTTATTCTCATTTATTGAGAAAATGGCCTACAAGAATGCTTTGAAAAATGCCCAACAGAATATTTTATTCTAACTACAATTTAGGAGTATTCTGGGCTCCCTAATTTAGATAGTAATCTGAACATGTGAATTTTTGGTAGTAAGCAATGTCCTTGAGTCCAATTTAAAAATGGACTTCTTAAGTAGCTTTGTTGGTATTCATACTATTGAGCAGAAGGGAAACAAAATTGGAAGGTTTTGTGTTTCCTGTGATCAATTTCTTCATGCATGGTCTCTTTTATGCATATACAGTAAATTTCTAGTTTTCAGTAGAGAAAATATTCAAAGTTCATTATGAAAATGTATAGTTTGCAAGAATAACTTTATTCTATTATCACTGTGAGCTAAAATCTTCATGTGTTGTACCATGAAATATTTTAGAGAGAAAATTTTATAGATTCAGGTTCATCTCATTAGTACCTCAGTTTCCCTAAGGAGCTTTTACTGGGGATCTAATTTAGGATCTCTTGGTCAATGCCCAGGGTAGTTTATTACAGGGATACCCTGTATGCTAAGGTGGGTCTTTCAGTATGATAGGACAGTAATCTAAATCTTGTACCCTTGAAACATATTTAGGTCACCTTGGTCTTAATTTTGTGACTATTGATTACATAGTGACTAATGAACAGATTTTAGACTATTCTTTCCATAGGTCTTTAAATATAAATGATGTTTATGATTCATTTGGAGTCCTAATCACAGGTTAGTCCATTTATTGCCATGTTGAAAACCATTTTTAGTCCTATTGGTTTGTAACACTGATTAGCATTTTATTAAATAAAGCAGAGTTAGACTTCCTGTGTTCTCAAAATTAAGTAGTTACCTTCATACATTCCCATATGAATGTAAAACAGTGCAGCTGCTTTGGAAAAGTTTGACAGTTTCTTAAAAATTAAATGCAGAATTACCATCTGATTCAGCAGTCCTGCTTCTTGATATATAATATACTCAAGAGAACAAAAAACAAAGGCCCACACAAAAACTTCTACACTTCTAGTCATAGCAGCATTATTCATGTTACCCAGAAAAGTGGAAACAACAGAGATTCCCGTCAACTGATGGATGGACAAGTAAAATGTGGTATGTTCATATAGTGTAACATAAGTGGTCAACAAAAGGGATGAACCTTGAGAACATGTCCAGTGAAAGAAGCTACTTATAAAAGGCCACATGTTATATGATTTTATTTATATGAATGGTCCTGAATTGGCAAATGAAGTAGATTGGGGTTGTCAAGGGCTGGGGCGGGGAGGGGGAGGGGAATGTGGAGTGACTGGTAATGGGTGCAGGGTTTCTTTGGGGAGATGATTAGAATGTTTTGAAATTAGATCATGATCATGGTTGTACAACCCTGTGAATACTCTTAGAAATGACTGCCTAGTATACATTAGAAGGGTAAGTTTCATAGTTTGTGAATTTTATCTCAATAAAATTGTATAAAATTAGCTATAATTACATATGGGACAAAAATAGCTCTTATATGCTCTATTTTATTTTATTCTTTAAATTTAAAAATAAATTAAATTTAAATTTTCGTTTGCTTTAGAGAAACAACTCCTTTCCTGATGAGAATAACATTGCAAGGCTTCAGGAAGAACTCATTGCTGTGAAACTGAGAGAAGCAGAAGCTATTATGGGTTTGAAAGAACTTAGACAACAAGTCAGAGATTTAGAGGAGCACTGGCAGGTATATATGTCGTGTATGTGTGTGTGTGTGTGTTTAGATTTTTAATTTATTTAGAGAGAGGGGAAGGGAGGGAGAAAGAGGGAGAGAAACATCAGTGTGTGAGAGATGGCATGCCCCAAACTGGAGACCTGGCCCACAACCCAGGCATGTGCCCTGACTGGGAAGTGAACCAATGACCTTTTGATTCACAGACCGGCACTCAATCCACTGAGCTACATCAGCCAGGGCTATTGTGTGCTTTTCAAAAAGAGGGTAAAACTTGAATATTTACTTTGTGTGAGTTTGAAGTAGTTGATGACCAACACTAGGATATGAGTTTAAATATGAAAGATCCTGTATAATGTATACAAGGAGAGTATTTATAAATTAAAAGTAGCTTTAAGCTGTTTCTCCTTTTTTTTTAACTCTTATAATTAAACAAAAGAAAATAGAGGTCAAGTCATATTTTCATTGTTATACCACTGTAATTTATTTAACTTTTTCTGGAAAAACTTTAAGGAAGTAATTCTTTATATAGTACATATTTTTTCTGTTAATTTTATATTCATATTTCAGTATAAAAATGTGGAAGGCTGACACAAATATAAATTTGTCTATAAATTTGTAACTTCTTTTGAAAATTAGTATCTCACAAAATAAAATAAAGACATTTAGCCAGTTGTATGCCAACAAATTTATTCACATAGGAGGAAAACTATTGACAAGGAACAAAAAACCAGAATCTACTTGAAAAATAACTAAATAAAATTTTAAAAAATTAAAAAAAAAACACCAGAATCTGTAAGAGAGAAGAGAGAGAGGTAAGAAAACAATAACCAGACAGCATTTGAGGATAGTGATCTTGTTTTGAATTTGGGGAAGGCAGTGCATCTAGCAAAGTGTTAGGAAGCAATCAACTGGATATTGAAAGCAAACAAACCTCCCCCTTCACCACAGGTATTTTAAGAACACTGCTCTTAACTTCTAATAGTGCTTCCTTAGTTCATGAATAGCCCTATTTTTTCCCCTTTTCTTGGGATTTTGTTAAAATATGAAAGTCTAGCCCTGGCTGGTGTAGCTCAGTGGACTGAGCACGGGCCTGTGAACCAGAGGATCGTGGTTCGATTCCCAGTCAGGGCACATACCTGGGTTGCAGGCAGGTTCCCTGCAGGTCAGTTCCCTGCAGGGGATGCACTAGAAGCAACCATACATTGATGTTTCTCTCCCTCTCTCCTTCCCCTCTAAAGATAAATAAATAAAATCTTAAAAAAAAAAATGAAAGTCTCATAAAAAATTTAAGGTAAAATTTGTAGTGTTTGCAATAGCTAATTCATAGTATTAAAAAATTGAGCTATAATCCGAGTTTTCTGAAATCTTCAATTTACAGGCAGTGGAATCTGCAGTGTGACCTTTCTGAAGTTATTTAATCACAGTTTCCATTTTCATACCTATATAATGAAGATAATAGTATCTGCTTAGATTTTCTGGAGATTCAGTAAAATAATGTGTATAAAGTGCTTAATATAGTACTGAATTTGACATAGTTGCTAAGTGAAGTTAGCTGTTATTTTGATACTAGGAATATTTGTTGCAATATAATTTTTTGTCTTTTAGCGCCACTTAGCTCGTACAGCTGGAAGATGGAAGGACCCACCTAAGAAACACGCTGTGAATGAGTTACAAGATGAACTGATGACCATTCGACTTAAAGAAGCAGAAACACAGGCAGAAATAAGAGAAATAAAACAAAGGATGATGGAAATGGAAACGCAGGTATGATGGAAAGCCTGATCGCTTTAAAAAATACCATTAGCAGATCAAAAGTTTATGCACAGAGTGTATCATCTCTAGAATAGAGGTAAAAGGTAGACATAAAAAACTGTTTATACTCCAATTTTGTAGCCCAAATAAAAAGGGCTAAAATTGTTTTCTTTGATATCAGAGATTTAACTTCTTTGACATATTCAACAAAGTTTAAGCAAGTCATAATACTCCATTTGACTTTGCTGCCTTATTACACAACTCAGGAAGGAATACTCATATAGAGCAAAATTTTTCAACCTTTACACTATTAACATTTTGGACCAGATAAGTGTTTATTGTGGAGACGGTCCTGTGCATTTTAGAACGACTAGCAGCATCTCTGGCCTCTACCCACTAGATGCCAGTAGCACTGAGTGCCTCCCTGTTTCTCACCCCACGTTGTACTGACCAGAATGTGTTCACACATCGTCAAATGTCCTTGGAAAAGTTCCCTGGTTGAGAACCACTGATATAGAGTGTAATGTGAACAGTGCTTCCTAAAATTGTGTGACAGGAATTCTCAGCATTTTCTTCTCAAACTCCCCTTTCTCTAATAAACTCTATATTAAATACACTTAAGATATGAAAGGTCCTTTTTATGAAAACTATTTGTATTTTAAAGGTGTATTTGGTTTTTGTGCATTTGTGCAGATTATATTCTCTATTCTATGAAATGTTATTTCATTTTCAAAAAATATTTATTCGTCAGTAGGGGGCATAGTTAACTCATGTATCATTCTGCATGCCTACTTACAAAAACAGAAATGATCATTCCAACTTGAACATAGCATCAATATGTAAATCCCTTAAAATAAATATATTTTGTTTTACATTGTTCAGAATTACTTTTTTATATTTTTCATGGCAATTAAAAATAGTAGTAAGATTATGAAAAGTAAAACTATTTTTGTAATGGGAAGTTTTGTTTTTATAATCAAATTTTATCTCAGTATATATACTAAAAATGCAAACACAGCTTTTAAGCCATGTTCAGGATTTATTTCAGACTGGGTGTAGGTGAATTCAACAGATGTGGTTTTGAGAACTTTACTGTCCAGCCTTCAAAGAACTTGTACTTGAGGAATCAGGAATTCACAAACTATATTTAATATAATTTACTATCTGAGATGATTGATGCTAACTAAATATTGTGGTAATCATTTATTAATATATGTAAGTCAGATCATTATGTTGTAGGCTTTAGATTTATACAGTGCTATTTGTCGATTATATTTTAATAAACTGGAAAAATATGTAATTCAGAAATGTGGTAATTAGAGAGTTAGATAGAAATTTCATGGACTAGGAGGGGGAACTAATTCTAGCCAGGTGGTTTGGGTGAAGGCCTTCTTGGGAATTTGTGGTGTAATGGTAATGCTGTGTTAGTCATCTACCGAGTTGCATATCAGACACCCATGTATCCAGCACCCGGATTAAGACACGTGTCCTTGTCGATACATACAGCTCCAGTTCCTTCATTCTTAATAACTTTTAGAAAAATTCACCTAGTGACTATCTCAGTGTATCGAGCCTCACTTCTCTTTGTACCAAATTTACTATTATAATCAGTGCTGCTCTCAACATTCTTGCATATGTTTCCTTGTGTATATTTCTAAGAGTGTCTTTAGAACGGGGTTTTATTATTTTCTTGGCTATGAACCCCTTTTTCAGGCTGAGGCTTATGAACCTCTCAAAATAATGCTTTTTAATGCATCAAATGAAATACGTAGGATTGTAAAGCAAACCAGTTACATTGAGATAGAGTTATTAAAGTACTAAAAAGCAAAGAAGTTCGTGACTACAACACTTATGTTGTAGAAATGCATACAACATATTCCCAATGCTGGATTCAGGATTATAATACTGTAGATTTTTTTGTATCTAAGTGAAATTGTACTGTATTTTCCTTTTTGGGGAGATTCTTTTCTGATTTTTTGTCCCAAGGTAAATGAGGTGGGTTTTATTTTATCTTCTTCTGTTCTCAGAAATTTTATGTAACATTGGATTACCCATTACCTTAATATTTGCTAGAATTTATTTCTTTGAACACTCTTGTTTTGTGAGAAGAGTAACTATTGATCCAAGCTATCAAAGGGTAGGGCTGTAGATCTTTTCAGGTCTTCTGTGTCTTCTTACATCCGATTTGGTAAGATAAGGCAAACTTCAAGAAAATAATGAAGGTGACAGACTTCTGATCAACACAGAGGTGTAGGTAAACATGACCACCTCTTTGCACAGCCACATCAAAATTACAGCTAAACTGCAGAACCATCACTCAAAACCATCAGAAATTGAGTTGAATGGAAGTCCAACAACTACAGAACTAAAGAAACCAAATCCATCTAGACTGGTAGGCGGTGTGGAGCCAGGGATTGCCGAACAGGCTGGTCCCACAACCACATGTGGTGGATAAAAATTCAGGAAGAATATCTTGGGAGTGAGGAGTTCCAGCCCCATACCACATCCCCCAGCCCAGGATTCTGTGCCAGGAAGATAAGTCCCCATAACTTCTGGCTGTAAAAACCAGCAGGAATTGAATCGGTGGAAGAGACTTCTATAGTCCCAAGCAGTTCTTAGAGAACCTGCACACAGAGTTACTCAGACTCAACCATCTGAGCTCTAGCATGGGGGTAGCAGCTGGAAAGGCAACAGTGGAAAACAGGGAGAAACTGAAGTGTCTGGCGTCAAGGCAAGAGCTGGGGGATAGCTTTCTCCCAGACAAAAAGAGGGGCAAGTGGCCATTGTTTCTTTTCTAAACCTTCTCTCCAAGAAGCCACAGAACCAGCAGGCAGGTGCCATATCTGAGACTCCATCAACCTGGCTAACACTGTTTGCCTCTCTCTGGAGATCCCCTGAGGTTTTGCCCCACCCATCTAATGGTCCCACCCAAGATGTGAACTCTAGTTTCCCATATGAATCTCTGGTCTTCACAACTTCCTAAATTATCTCACACAAGCAACAGTCAGCCTCAGTGAACCCCCAGCCTCTATACTTCTTGCTAAGTGGCCCTAGGCCCAGCATAGCAGTAGCCTAGATTCACAGCTCGGCTTTGCTTAGGAATCTCCAAGCCAACACAAGTAGCACCCATCTCAGATTGCTTTATGACTCAGACAGGGTGGCACCAGGAAGAACACAAGTAGGGACGGACCTTGGCCTGTACCACCCATGAAACTGCAGAGCCTACATATCCAGTGCAGCTACAGAGCACATTAGAGCACTACCACCCTGCCCCTGCATAGCTGATCCTCCATGGAAGGTGGAAGTTGGTAGTTGGTGTTCACATCCAGTTCTTGCAGCCAACTAACCTGGATAAATTCCTCCCATTGACTTGCCAACAGCAATCAAGGCTCAACTACAAGAGGAGGATGTACTCAGTCCACATGAAGGGCATACCTCAAGTGCCCAGACTGGGTAATAAGGGAGGCTGTATCACTGGATCCTACAACATTAGGCCAAGACAGAGTCAAAGCAGCTCTACCTAATACATAGAAACAAACACAGGGAGGCTGCCAAAATGAGGAGACAAAGAAACATGGCCCAAAGGAAAGAATAGATCACAACTCCAGAAAATGAACTAAACAAAATGGAGATAAGTAATGTATCAGATACAGAACTCAAAACAATAATTATGAGGATGCTCAAGGAACATAGTAACTCAACAGCATAAGAAAGATTCAGTCAAAAATGAAGGATACACTAATGGAAGTAAAGAACAGTTTACAAGTAAGCAACAGTAGAGTGGATGAAGCTGAGAATCACATTAATGATTTGGAACATAAGAAAGCTAAACACAACCAATGAAAACAACTAGAAGAAAAAGAATCCAGAAACTGAGGATATTGTAAGGAGCCTGTGGGACAACTTCAAAAGCTCCAATATTCACATCATAGGGGTGCCCAAAGGAGAAGAGAAAGAATAAGAAATTGGAAACCTATTTTTAAACAATAATGAAAGAAAAATTTTCTAATTTGGTGAAGAAAATAGATATACAAGTCCAGGGAGCACAGAGCCCCAAACAAGGTGGATGCAAAGAGACCCACTCTAAGACACATCATAATTATAATGCCAAAAGTTATAAGATTCTCAAGTTAAGATTCTTAAAGAGAGAATCTTAAAAGCAGCAAGAGAAAAGAAGTTCATTACCTACGGAGGAATTCCCATAGGACTGTCAGCTGATTTTTTATTCTCAAAAGAAACTTTGCAGGCTAGAAGGGATTGGCAAGAAATATTCAAAGTTATGAAAAGCAGGGACCTATAGTCAAGATTGCTCTTATCCAGCAAAGGAACCTGAAGGGCAGGTAAAGAGCTTCCCAGACAAGAAAAAACTAAAAGAGTTCATCACCACCAAACCAGTATTACATGAAGTGTTAGAGGTACTTATTTAAGAAAAAGAATATAAAAAAAAACTATGAACAATAAAACAGCAATAAATACATCTCTGTCAACAAATGAATCTAAAAAAGAAACTAAGCAAACAAAAGAACAGAGACAGACTCATGAATATGGAGTGTGTTTTGATGGTTGCCAGGTGGGGGGGGGTGTTAGGGAATGGGTGAAAAAGTGAGGGGAGTAAGAAGTACAAATAGGTAGTTAGAATAACCATGGGGGTGTAAAGTACAGTATAGGAAATGGAGTAGCCAAAGAACATATACCCATGGTCAGTTGACATGAACAAAGGGGTAGGAATTGCCTGAACAAAGGGAGGGGGGTTGACAAAAGGAGAAGATTATGACAACTGTAATAGTCAATAAAACAGAATTTCAAAAAAGATGGAGGTGTAGATAGATACACTGCCTCCTCCCACAAGCAAAAGAAGGACAACAAATTTAAAAACAAAAATCAAACAGAACTACCAGAAGTTTGACCTTTATGGAAGTCAGACAACCAAGGAGTTAAAGAAGCAACATTCATCAAGATAGGTCAGAGGGGCAGAGACAAACGGCCAGGTGGAGAGGACCCAAGACCAAGCA